CCACTCTGTCTGATTACCTTTCCAGGGAGAAAGAGACAGATGAATTTTCCTGAACCTTCAAGTGCTTTTGATACCATCAGTCATGGTAGCCTTCTAGATTGGGGAAATAAGGTGTGATTTCATCCTACTTACCAGAATGGTGGTGGGATACTGCAGTTTTCCCCCATGAGACCTCTTTGGAGGGTTTCAACCATGGGGACCAGCTCTTTCTCCCATGCTTAAGGATGGTTGGATGGATGGATGAGTCTATAGCTGGTCAATTTCATGTGTGTTCATTCATGTCTATTCCATTACAGTTTTGCATTAATGTACATGTTTTGTAAAACTTCCATCTATTTAAATAAGCTATTTTGAATGTATTTTCTCACAATAAATCAATGTTTAAGCATTTTATCAAAATGCATACATCTGTAAATATGTTTATAAATATACCTTGTAGTAAATATGCATTGTTTAATGCACTTTGTTACATTTTTGACCCAACAACTGCATCACAAAATTTGGAGTGCAAAATGTGAAGCATTATATTCTGATCCCCTTTTTAACTCAGAAGTTGTGGTTCTAGTCAGTTCATACTGGACTTCAAAAAGATCATGCTCCTCAAGCATCCCTATCTTTTTAACGTCAATATGAAACCGCTGGCAGCAACTTATTTCTCCATCTGAATCCAGTTTAGGGAAGCTTTTAACCTGAGGGGTGAATATAATTTGCAGAAAAGCTTAGGGACCACATTCCAGTGGTAAGTGGAACTAAAGGCCAAAGGGGCAAGGTCAAAGAGTTGGGGCTAAGAATACCAGTGTATTTTTGCTGACAGCGCTTACTGCTAGTAACAAAGGACCAAATGGGACATTCTGATTCCTTCTTTTAGTCAAGCCTATTAATTCTGGTAAAAACCATGGCAATTCAGGAGATTTAAGCTCCCCTCTCCCATTTTTGGCTGACTGGAGAATGCTGTGAGTTGTAGGGCTTTTCCTGACTAAGCATATGTATGTTTGGGCCCCAAGAAGGATATAAGTGGAGAAATGGATCATTTTTTTCTCCTTTGCTTTAGAGGGAGTCATTTGGCTTGGGCAGGCATGTGTCCTACTTAACAGTATTTTGGAGAGCTGGAAAAGAACTCTCCCATATTTGAAAGTGTCCTCTATTTTGTGGGCTGCCCAGCTGCACTCTAATTCAAAGTAAAATAATTTAAAGAGGGAGAGCAGGAGGTCTTTGAAGTTTCTTACCCACTGATAACATCTGGGCAGCAGATGGGACAGGCACAGAGGTCACCTGGTCAGGATTCTCCATTGTGTTTTGGGATTCTTTTTAAACAAGTTGTTCTTCTGAATTTACACCTTAGCACACATATTTGCGTGCACTTATTAGTCTTTTGTGCAATGTACTTCCTTTTTTCTAGTGATGAGCAAAAGGCTCTCTACTTGACCCTGGAATGTCATGTCCATTCAAGTTATTGCAAATTCATCCATCTATACAAAATGTTGTTGGTAAGTACCGTATTTTTCGCTCTATAAGACGCACTTTTCCCCCCCTCAAAAGTAAGGGGAAATGTCTGTGTGTCTTATAGAGCGAATGTGTGCCCGACGCCTGGGATGCTGCCGGCCGCCTGCACCACGTGGCACCACCTGGCTGGCACGCACTCGGCACGCCCTGCTCCACCCTGTCCCTCCGGCGCAGGTGAGAGCTGTGCCGCTCAGGGGGAGGCGTGTGGAGGACGACGAGCCGCGGCCTTTAACCCGCTGGCCACATGGAGAGCACAGAGAGACGGACTACTCACCTCCACCGCCTGGGAAGACCTGCCGCTGCCGCCGCTGCACCACCTGGAAGACCATCGCCAGCACGCTGCTGGCCGCCTGCACCATGTGGCACCACCAGACCAGCATGCGCTTGGCCAGGTGAGAGCTGTGTCACTCAGGGGGAGAGGTGCGGAGGAGGAGGAGCCGCGGGCTTTAACCCGCCGGCCGCACGGAGAGACGGACTGCTCACCCCCACCGCCCGGGAAGACCTGCTGCTGCCGCCGCCCGGAAGACCACCGCTGGCATGCTGCCAGCCCCACGTGGCACCACCTGGCCGGCACGCGCTTGGCGCACCCTGCTCCACCCCCCTCCTCTGGCGCAGGTGAGAGCGGTTAATCACAGGTCAGTGTGTGTTTTCAAACGGAAAATGAAGCCCATTTTAATGAAGCCCATGGGGAAGTGATGGGGAATGTGCCTGTGATTATCAGGAAGCTTTCCATGGATCAGTTATTTGTTAGTTGATCAGACACATTGTTTTTAGGATCAGTGGATATTTGAACAGCGTTACCTTTGTGTATGAAGTTTATTCTTCAAAGGCTTAGTCCACTGTGTGTTTGATTTACCGTACAATATCTCATTTTTTGTCAGAAGTTTTTTTCTATTATTTACTAGTAGGGCAGTGTGGACATTACTGGCTTTTTTAGATGTGTTATTGAATTGTCTGCAGCAGCTCTTGTATAACTGGTGTAGATTGTGGATCCCTTCAATAATTCCACTACTGACTAAAAAAGTGATGTCAGTGATTGTGCGCAACAGAGCTTCATAAATTCTGACTCTAGCGACGATGAGTTCTATGGGTTCAATGAAAACTAGAAGAGTACTTGAACTTTAAAGTCTCTCTTTTGTTAATGACAGTGATGATGGTTCTTAATGCCACTGTTGACTGCTGTTCACTTTACAAGGTTGAAATACGGTTTTACTGTATTCTGTATTTAGTAAACCATTTGATTCAGAATATTTTCTTTCTTGTTTTCCTTCTCTAAAAACTAGGTGCATCTTATGGTCAGGTGTGTCTTATAGAGCGAAAAATAAGGTAACTTCATGATAAGGAATGAATTGCAACTTTGGGCCCTGTCCTTGACCACCATGAATTCACCTAAAGAGCCTTCATGCATACAAGCTGTGAGACCTGTTCCTGAATTATTCTCCAACCAAAAGTTCAGATGAATATACGTGGTCACAATTTGTAATAAATTGTCTAGATACCCTATATTAGAAGACACACTTCTGTTCTGGCAGAAGACAATCTATTTGGAAGTGCCTTCTATTTGATTGGTGTCCAGTCCAAGTCCAGCTTAATGTTGATGAGCCGAAGAAGGGACATTCCTGGACAGCACACTGAGCAGCACACAGGTTGCCTAGACAGGGTACTGCATCATGGGGAGATGTCTCAGGTTACTATTTAAATTACAGAAATTGTTTCTAAATTTGCACATGTACATGCAAACACCATACATGTTATTATCCTCTTTTCATGGTGCATTGCCTCTTTTTTATGATGAGCAAGTTCACTCTTGTGTCCTGCAGCACTCAAGAAAGGAGAACAGCTCATATTTGCACAGTCTGGCCCAAGCCTCTTTGCTGGAGTTTGTATCAGGATACTGAGAATATACAAAAGGATAAATGAAAAAGCAGAAAAAATGAGACTGGGAATGAACAAGCCAGTAAGAGTCCATGAATGGAACTTCTGAAAACAATGTTGATGTTACAAATGCAAATATTTATGCCAAAGAAGCAAGCAACTCAAATAAGATACTGAATGTCAGAGAGCGACAACTCAATGAACACAATTTGGTTTTCTGACTTACACCTCAAGACAATGACAGAATCATTAATTACACTGAAAATCTCTCCTCATGGCTTAATTCAAAGCATCCTGCAATTTATATTGGTTCTCATGAAAAGAGGAGTGTTTTGTAAGACACTCTCCTCAGCGAGGCAGATGTAACTCAAGAGGAAATCATATTAACGGAGAGGAAAATCATTCAGGTCTCTTGAAAAGACCTTATACAGAAACTGTTTAGCCTCAGAATGTTCATTCATCCAGCACCTCTTATATTATACGATTAGAGCAGCTGGGCTAGATCAGACCAAAGACTCTCCTAGGCCAACTTTACGTTCCTGCAGTAACCAACTGCTTTGAACTTGGTTGTATTATTCAGTTCAGAGAAATCACCCACTTGTGTGTTCCACTTGTGCATTATCATCCACTTGTGCATTAATCCCAGAGAAATCTGACTGGAATTGTTGTAGATCACAAGCTGAATTCTAGTCAACAATGTGATGTGGCTGCAAAAACAGCAAATGCTATTTTGGGCTGTATTAATAGAAGGATCAATTACAAATCACATGAAATACTAGTTTCCTTTTATTCAACACTGGTTAGGCCTCATCTGAAGTATTGCTTCCAGTTCTGGGAACCACAGTTTAAGAAAGATGCAGACAAGCTGGAAAGAGTTCAGAGGAGGACAACAAGGATGATCCAGAGACTGGAAACAAAGCCCAAGAGCAGAGATGGAAAGAATTGGGCATATTTAGCCTCACGAAGCATAAGGGGAGATAGGATAGCACTCTTCAAGTACTTGAAAGGTTGTCACAAAGAGGAAGGATATGATCTTCTCGATCATCCCAGAGTACAGGATGCAGCAAAACGGGCACAATTGACAGGAAGTCTGCTTCAACTGAACATCAGACAGAACTTGCTGTTAAAGCAGCATAACCATGGAACCAATTACCTAGGGAGGTTGTGTGGGTCTCCCACACAAAAGCCAATCAAGATGCAACTGGACAGCCATCTGAGAGGGATGGTTTAACTTGGAATCCTGTCCTGATCAGGCTGCTAGACCCAATGGCCCTCTGGGCCCTTTCAACTCTACTATGATCATGATGCAGCACAAAATGTTACATACTTGTGCTTCCAGTCTGTACCAAGTTACAGTTTCCAGAGGAAAAGTGCTTAAGCAAAACTCTGAACCAAGTCCAAGAACATCAAAACATATTTTGAATCTCTAGCTACCTGACAAGCACCCTTCACTGCTGATTCTACAATCTTCATCTTCCATGATATTGTGTTAACCTAAGACCAGCCAACTAGTTTCAGAGCACATATCCTTCAGTAAGCTTTTAAAAAGTGGAGGGAAAAACCCATATCAGGCAGAATGGATCAAAAAACAAACAAACAAATAAATAAAAATCACACAAGCATCCAAATGGGTAATTTTTATTTGTGGATAAAAATTAAGGCTCACAGTAGTTTTATCATTTACAAGCAGAAAATGTACGCATTGGGTTTCTTTTCTTAAAAAAAAAAAAAAAGACAGAAGGTGGGAGGGAGGGAAGGAGAATGCTTGGAATTATTCCCTATACAAATTCCTTTGAAAACGTTGACGTCTTACTGAATGAAGGGTGAACAAACTGAACAAGAGCAACTGCATTCATACCCTACATGGTATACATTCCCTTCTGGACCACAACAAGACAGTTATCTCTGTTTCTGCATCTGGCTAAGATTACATGAATTAACACCATGAAATACATTCAAAGACTGGCAGTCTGGCAGTGCAAGTATACTCCACATTCCATTTCCCTTACAAACTGAATAGATGCACATGGATGTGTATGCACATTGTATGCACATGTTTATGTTTTAAAACCCTGTTCCATACAACACTGGTATCTTGATTAAAATGTAACAATTTGCTTATGATGCAAAACATTTTACACATTTACTTCCGGCTCTGGCATATTTTTTTGTATAAAGTTTATTCATGAATCTTATTTAAAGGCAAGTGTAACAAGCTATAATCCAGGAGTGTCAAAATTTACACATTTGCTAAGATAGAAATCCTAGGGGAATTTGGCTATGCTGTGCACCTAATACAATGAAAACAAGGCTATGAAAACAAAGGACTGTATCTCCAGCTGTAATGGTCATCATTAGAGGTGCCACTGAGCTGAACCTCTGGCTGATATGGATGCAAGCAGATACTATACTACTTTTTCCAGGTTGTGTCATAGTTATGATAGGATTGCATTTAAAGCATAAAAGAGGATTTACAATGGCCACGTTTTAAACTGAAGAAAGGTGCTACTGGCAAATGCCGTAACCTCAATGTAAGACACAACAGTAAGTTGCAGAAGCATTCTGATGCTATGGACTTGAATAACCATGATGCGGTATAGTCTACCTTCTGCAATTTAGGTTTCTATCTCCCAGGAGGAGCTAGACTTGTGTATGATTATTTGCCTTAAGTGGCACAAGCAAGCACACAGAGATATTCCTGGTAGGCAATGCGTATAGACTACAATCCATTCACTTGAACACAGCCATTTCCAAACCTTGGGCTAGAGGAAAGCAATAGGATTGCACACCGTGGCCTGGAGGAAAAGTGCACGTATAAATGTTGCAAGGTCTCCACTGGAAGCTTCTTGAGAAGGTAGTGAATGATTTTGTGGCACAGCAATGTAGTCAGTACAGAGAAGGATGCCCTCATCTTGTCCTAGCCCTTCAAAGAGCATCCGTTTCAATAGGTCACAGTGGATTTTTAGCCATCGTGAGCCCTTTGGCTGCATTTCTTCTTCCTCAGGCATTATTCCAAGCAGAAGCTGAAGCACTTGGCCAGCAGAGACCGTCCAGGCAAATACTGACTTAAGCATCCTACCCAGCCATATCCTGGCAATTCACGCAAGGACAGTGTCTCAGCTTAGATGAAATCATGAATGACAGGTCTTTTGCCATCAAGTCTTACATTAAGCAGAAGCAGCTATTTTATTGCTTCTCCACAAAGTGGAAGGAGTTGTGAGATGAGCTTCCAAGTAGCTATTACATGGCAAATTGTTGCCTGTATCCTGCTAATGAGTGCAATTACACTGGGCTGTTTAAACCCTTGAGAAGTATTTTAAAAAATCCGATAGGGGTATGCCTTGATTTTTAGCACGCAGCTGAGTTGGGGAGGTATTCAGAATGGGTGCCAGAAATCATGGCAGCCCTAATAGGAGGTGAACTCTTTACAACAGAGGTAGGCAATGTATGCACTACAGTGCCCACTTGTGTACTCCCTGCCCCCAAATTTGCCATGGTGGCATAAAAAATATATATAGCAATTTGCAAACAAACAAGGCACATAAGGAACACACCATTTCTATATCTTGTTAACATTATTTTGCTTGCAAATGACCATACATGTTCCCTGTGTACCCTCTTTGCAAGAAAATATACTTTTTGCCCAGAAATTGTGGCAGCAAATTTGGTGCCAGAAATTCCCAGGCTGAATTCCAGGGGAGGGAGTCAATGTGACCTTTCAAACTGCAGAAGTGACCTATCTCTGCTTAATAATAAATAGGTACATCCCTCCTTTTCAGTTACACAAACTGCAAGTCAGTAGAAACAGCTCTATTTGAATTTAGCCTATGGGGAAACATATCCCAAAGCATCTAGCTTCGAATCCTGACACTTATTGGAGAGGGGAAGTGTTCTAACTTTTTGGTAGCCTAATCTCCAAGTTGTAGGAACAGAGAACCGCATTCTTATTGGATAAGCCTGATCCAAACCACAAACAACATAGCACAATGTTTTAACACACCTTCCAAGGGTGCCCCTTAAACTCATGATTTCCCTTGCCTTTATAAAGCAGCCTCATATCAAATTTTAAACCAATAGAAACCAATTTTAATTCAGTATAAAGACAAAAAATAAAAATGGGCACAGAGATGTGGATGGCTGTAATGTGGGTTGTTACTTTGATTTTTTCTGAGCCACAAAACACACGTTCAGCTGTACACATCATTTATGTGAGGCTCTCTTGCAACTCACTTCAGTGATGCATGTTAAATATAAACAGCACTGCATCTTGAGGAAAATCTATGCTTTACACTCTTAAACAAAAGCATTTTGTTTTGAAAATATTATGGAGGGGGAAATGAGAATGGGGGAAAATGTAGTCAGTATCCGAGTGCCAGCTGTTTAGAATGTCTACACTCTGCCCTGGGCTTAATACTTCAAACAATATGGAACAGGGCTAACAGTATACATCAAACAAATATACATTGATTCCACAATTCAACAATACCCACTACTCCATTTGGCAAAATATTTATTTATAATAAATCTGTTTCAAAAGCAGTTGGTCACTTTTTCTTCTTCATTTTACATTATTAATAAGCTCTAACAATGGTTTCGGTAAATGTAAATAAACTTGCCTCTTTTTATACAGTATACAAAAAAAATTAAAAAAGAGAGAGAGAGAGAGACATTGAAATGACATAACAGTAAAAACACATGAAAAACAGGAAGAGACAGTTAAGATTCTCCCCCACCAGAAAAGGCAAAGCAATATGGATCTATCTGCACTTAGGCATAACTGCCCTAATTATTTACCCGTACATATCCTCAGCCCCACTTACCTTACTTCCCTCCCCTGCCCACCCAACATCATCACTCTTAATTTGCAGATTATGCTCCAGGAGAGAAAAGAAAAAAAAAATATCACATGTCATGTAGCAGCAGCTCCAGTCACTCTTTTCACAGCACTGCATGTCAACACTGGGGAATGGTTTCTGATATAATTTAAAACTGCATACAGTACTTTTGTTGTGTGTGTGTGTGTGTGTGTGTGTGTGTGTGGTTGGGGGGGGGTAATTACTCCCACTCAGTTGTTCCTGGTGGTTTTGAAGTCAAGTCATACATCACCCGGGAGATGCCAGGAATCTTCTTAATCTCTGTCACCATTTTCAACACAACCTATGTTTAGAAACAAGCAACAAAAAGATGACAAGAACATAAGCGACAGCGTCTTCATTTGGAAGAAAGTAGGAACAAGTCAGGGCTGCTCATTATGTAAATCAGAATGCTTTGCCCTATCCTTTGAAGGAGTCAGGAGCTACACACAAGATACCTGGTTCAAAAAGCAAAGAAAGGGCTTGTGTCATGAATTCAGAAGTCTGCTACAACCTGGCTCTCCCCATGAGCTCTTTCTTGTTCTTTGCTGAAGGAACAGTAGCAGTGCCAACTCCACAGCTTCAATGCTCTCTGGGCTTCATATAAGACTATGAGCATTACATTAAATATGCATTTGTTAAAGGCATTTTTATTAAAACACTGTTAAAATGGTTTCTAGTCCTGGAACCTTGAATGTATACATGGGAGCTAGTATGTGTGTGGATACCTCTCTCAACTCAGACTTCGCTCTCAATACAAGGTCACCTGCCCATTTTAATTATATTTCTTAATACTTTAATGGAACAAGCAAATAATAATGATAACTGGGTGGGTGGTATACTGTAAAGTGAAGCTCCACCCTCCCATGTCACCTTTGGGTTCAAAAGAGCACTTTTGTGTTTCAGAGCTCAGATCCCCCTCTGGGCTTGTCCTTAGGTTCTTGGACATTCTATTCTTTCCGTTTCACATGGCTGACTTGCACCAGTCTAGCCAGGACCAAGGATAAAGGGGGTGCTTAGGCTCAGCCTGGCTTGCAGCTCAACTGTGCTGGCCAGAAACTGTGGACAAAGATAACACAGACAAAGTTTATCCATAGGACAGCACTGAGTATGCAAACTTCCTTTTCTTTGCAGGATTACTTCACAAGTCCAGAACAGATCTGATCAATATACAGGCACGTGCTCCCATGCATGGACCAGTGTAAATAGAAAGACGGACACTGTTATGTAAAAAAGGGTGGGCACTGAAAAGTATGGAAGCAATCATGTTCACCAGATTGATGCTGTGGATGTCCAAACCTATGAGCATTATTCTAGTCAATGGTATTGAACGACTCTGAAATGCGTATTTCTATTTTGAGTGTTGTTAAGCCCCAGAAAATCTGTTTTCTTAGATAAAATCTTCTCTTGTATAGCATTAAGCTTTTCTCTTGTATAGCATTAATACGTTTCAATGCGTAAAATGAATGTTTTAGAATTTTAAAAGTAAAGACACAATCTTTTCACATCAGCAAGAAAAGAAAAGACCATTTCAAAAGACCAAGATCTGCTTTCTAAGATTACCTCTTCTGGTATCTCATTGCCAGGAGTTGCTGCAATACCAGTCATGAAGTCACTAGTAATAAAGGTTCGAATAACCACTGATCTTTGACAGGAAGGCTGCTTCTGTAAGGGATCTCGATCAAAATGCAATGGTGTTAAGATTATTGGCATCTGGCTGATTTTTCCAGAATAACCTTCAATACAAAACCAAGAAGACTACAATTAATATACTGTTATACTGACCAAGAGAGACAGCATGGTATAATAAGAGTTTGCATGTTGGACCGGGACTGGAGAGAGAGAAGTTCAAATTCCCCCGTGACCTCGGGCCAGTCACTCTCTCAGCAAAAATTACATCAACTTATTGTGATGAGAGAACAGAGATGCAGAACCTGTTCTGGCCTGAGACAGGAACTCTCTTTTGAAGAAGCTCTCAAGGGCTGAAATCTAGTAGTAACAGGGTTAGAGGCAAGAGCAGAGGGGACAAACTGCCCAAAATAATGCACAAAATCCACCAAATGATCAGTGGTTGAAGGGAAGGGGTATAAACTGGGACCTCTCCCACCCCAAAGGGGCTGAAATGGTTATTAGCTTTAGGTTCTGCACTCCGGGATAAGATGTGCTTACTGGAGATGGGAAGACCATTTGTGCCACCCCAGCACCTTGATAAAGGATGGGATACTGATGGAATGGTCAAATGGATAACATCAAGGCAACCTGTGCTCTTAAGTATGACTTGGAAACAGCCCTTGTTATGAAATACATATATTACATTAGGAATATGTTTCTCTATACATCTTTGCTATAAAGTGAAGAAAGTCCCAGGAAACTCAACTTTCTGAAGTTGGAATTCTACGGAATTATTATTATTATTATTATTATTATTATTATTATAACATTTCTATGCCGCTTATGAATAAGAATCAGGTATACCATACTGTATTCTATCAATCTTTTAAAAAAGAAAATAATAAAAGGGCTGCTCAGTGCATCTTGAACTGTTGCAGAAATCTTTTCTTATAATGATTAGAATGTTGAAAACCTCTTAGCAACAAATAAAGTGTCCAGTAAAGGCACATACTAACCAGACTCCCTCAGAATATTATGTGCCTCGAAATCAGCTTGCCGCAACGTGCTGAGGACGCCTGTCGTCAGGAAAGTGGGAGTAACATCTGTGGGAGGTTCTTTGACTGGCGGGCCGAACACATAGACCACTCTAAGAAGGGAGAAATGGCGTATTGGACGGTGTGCTTTATTTATTCGTCAATAAAACATTCACAAGAGAATGCATCTTGATTCTAGAAGTTCATCCAAAGCTACTACTGGTATGGTATATAATACCTTACTCTAACCAATGCTGCAGAACTAGTGTCATTCATTCAGAGACACTGCCTGCCCCTTCATTTATTTTTGTATCCCATTTTAAAAGTCCAAATGCTGAACATCCAAAATGCAAGGAATTCAAACTTTTGCTCAGCTCTTATTTTAAAGCTCCCACTATAAAAGCAGGCACACCTGTAGCAATTGGGGCTTGTTCCCAAGACACCAGAAGTTAACAGTTTTGCTCTGAGCATCTTCAAATACAGTCTTCTTATTTATTATAAAGAATGGGTGTTCTAGATGCCCGAGATGGCCAAACATCTAAATGACTAGCACTACTACTGCAACAAAAACTACAAAAATATATTCCCTGCTCAAATGATAAGACTGAGGACTTGAGCTAGAGGGCCACACTGTGAGCCTGGAGTGGGACTTCCAGCTCTTCTCTCTCAATAAGCCTTATAATATTAAACAATTTTGTGGACAGCACATATTTCCTTCTATTTGGTACTTTGCTTTGACTCCTCCTCAGTAAATTAAGATCTCCCAAACAAAATAAACTACTACATAGCAGCTCAATGTCAAAATATTATGGATATATACCGATTTATGTTGTGACACATGCGTGGTATAAGTCTGGATAGGAACATAAGGGATTCCCAGTGTGGAGCGTCTTTACTGGAGATCCCACACACATAACTGTAGGAACGACCATCACCCTGCAAAACAGGAAAACTAGGTCAGCAGGTGCATCATTTTAAAGCACAGCTTTCTACCAACAGTAACGTAATTATATTAACTGAAATTTTATATAGTGTCAATGAAGTGCTTTGACTTTAATTACATGTAGCCTGCAGTCTTTAATGGGTTTTACAAAACCCACCAGGTGCTTGGACTGCCTTGGGAAAATTGGTACCTTACATAAACATCACTATCATATGCCATCTCAATCCACCTGCCAGTAACAAATTAGTAATCTATATTATTAGGATGATATGAAACTTAATGGCTATTTTTCCAGTGGCAGTCTGAATGTTCTTAAGAATCTTTGCTATCTTACAAAAGAGACCATTTAGACCAGCATTCCCCAACCTTATGCCTTCCAGACATGTTTGGACTGAAACATTCAGAATTCCCAGTCATTGGTCCTGCTGGACAGCAATTACGGGAGTTGTGGTCCAAATGCCTCTGAAGGCCACGAGGTTGGGGAAGGCTGACTTACATCTGAAGGCCCTGAGTATGCATGAGAAAACAGCCTGTGCACAACTCGTGCCCCACCTCCTTCAGCTTTGTTCCACTATGACTCTAAAAACACTCATGTGTTACCTGCAACAGTCACTGCCCTCTGTCACCTTTAGCAACACTATGGCTGCAAGTTCAGCTTCACTCACCTGTACACCCACAGTTTTGACTGGTAGCAAGAAGGCATTCAATGAATGTAGACTTGTGATCTGCATCAATTTCTCCTGGTCTTCCTCAGTTGTACAAGCTTTGACCCTTTGCAATAGAGTGTGAGGCTGGGCAACAAAGCAGAAAGTCAAATTTAAACATTTAAGCATATTAGCAGCCTATGCCTCATTAGCTGCCAGTGTCATGCAGGCAGAGGGTGGACAATAAATGTGGTTTTTGAACAAGGAAGTAGATATCTGGCAGACAGGTGGCCAGCCCAGGGCCTCCTCAAATAAGCTGATGGTATGATTACCATTTACTTTTTGTAAAGCACCTATAATCCATCAAAGAGAATGGGGATGGAAGATGTTGTAAATTCCTAGGCTATGAAAAATCAGAAAATATCAACAGAAAATAAGGAACCAAGAAAAGAAGGTAAGAATTCAAAAAGGAGGTACAAACTGATTAACAGAGAAAAAATAACCTTCAATTCTATAATTACCTTTTTAACACTTGCAGAAAAGTCCGCTATGATTTTCAGAATGTTATTAGTTTCAGGGAAATCTTTGCAAACATATGGTTCTTCAGCACATATTACTCGAATTGCAAGGCCAGGACCTAAAATGCAGTATTGAAACAGCACAATATATGACCAGTAACCAATAGGAAAATGATTAATTATGCTTCATAAATGCTATCTCTGATTATGACATTTGGATCAGGCTACAATTTGACTTAGCTGAATGCATGAAATGTAACAAAACAGCTGTGCGTTCTGAAGTGCAAGTGATTTCTGATCTACTTACCCGTAAGTAAAGGGCACCTGGGAAACTTTTTATTATGAAACTGTGCTAGAGCAAGAGGCAAGGGTTACATTCCCAACTTTCTCTGCTCCTGATAGTAACACTGACAAACATCTGGGGGTAGGGTTCTGCAAGAGGCTCTCTGGATTCTATCCGTATCTTTCTAGTGACCCTTACATTAATCCTTTAATAATACTGCCTAATTGGTAGATCAGTATTAGTTCCATTTTGAAGATGAAGAGAATGGAATCTTTCTGATTTACAGTTCAAGCTCTGGGACATTAAGCATATTATTAATACAATGCAATGGCTTGGACACAAAGAATCACGAGTGGAAGGAGAACATGTTTTAGCTTTGTTCTGTGAACTCCTACATAAGACCTAAGTTCAGTGCCACAGTGTATCAGGGCTTAAGCTACAGTGAATCAAGAAAACAGGGTGCAGCATATAAACTCTAGTAAGCCACAAACTAAGTCCTAAGAGTGAGTTTGTGCACATTTTTGTACATGATCTTGAGCCTGCTGAAATACTCCTTTGGATTTGGGGGTTGCTTCTCTCAGGGAATTACCTTCTACTAAGTCAGGAACAACAGTTCCGAGAACTAAAGCAGCTTTTCATTAGTGGACAATCCAACCCACTGAGTCCTGATGAATTTTGCTAATTCTATACCTGGGAATGGATGTCTGGAGACCAGCTCTTCAGGCAGACCTAGTTCTCTCCCAAGCACTCTCACTTCATCCTTATGGAAATCCTTCAGTGGTTCTATTACTTTGCCCTGCAAAGGAAAACAGTACAGTTAGCAATTAGGATCTCACCCTGAAGCGACGTACAGCCAAGGAGTCAACCAACCCATAATAAAAAGGGTGTCTGTCTGCCCATCAGCACTGCAGTAGCAAGACCGTAAAATCTAGATACTTGAAATTTGGTGTTCATATTAAGGGGTGGTTTTATTTTTAAAATGCGTTAATTTTAATGTGTCTGTATTGTCAAAGCCTGCAGTCACATCTTCAGTCTCTAAGACAGACTTCTGTAAGCAGTGCACACACTGGATGTCTACACATAACACAACTGACTCTACAAAATACTTGAAAGCTGATATTTCAATACTAGCTAGTATACAACTAGTATGACATGGTTGCATATGAAAACAGTCAAAATAATCCTATTTACATCTCTCAAATACCCTGCTTTAAAAAAATCCCCACCCTTCTTTTTGTAACTTTTGAAAACTGTCAAAAGTCTGTGTTCATGAAAACAGGGGAGAGGATTTTAAATCTTATCTTTTCGGAGTACCTAGAGGCTTGGGGAAGCATGAAAAAAGTGGATGGCACTGAGAACTGTCGGAGCAATACGTAAAAACTAGAAGAGCACATTGTTAAGGGGGAGATCTACTTGCCACTCTCTTTTGTGAGCAAAGATTTACTTGGCTCCTGACTGCTCACAGTTTGACAGCTGTCAAATGAAAAAAAAGAACCACATTAAGGCACTATCTGCAGCCTCGCTTTGTCAATGTCCTTGGATGGTGCTTCCTGTATTTTGATACAAGACACTTACAGGGACACTAACCAGGCAATACATTACATTACTGCTTGTCAAAGAAATACACTTGCATACCTTAGAAAAACCTCAAAACAGTTTGGGTTCACGTAACACAAACGCCCACTGTGCCAAGTTACCAAGCTGGATTGTTATCTTGTTAGCCATTGTGAAGTGAGGGGAGATATGTAGGTCAAGAGGCAGAGTTAGATGGCTTCTCCCTACCCACAACTTTAGAGCAGCCCCTTCCACAGGACTGGAGGGGAAAAGCCCATCTCTTAGGAGGCTGCAGGGGGACACCATGGCAGGGGCTATGCCAAAATGAGTATGGCTTCACTGAGAAGGCAGGCACGCCTGTCCATCTCTGATAGCTGCATACATTTGTTTGAAGACTTCATTTTATCAAGCTAAGGGCTATTCCAGCCTGTGCTAAGCTGGGTTTCTTCACTGGTTTCTAATAGAGTATTACTGCTACTAAGGCTATAATTGAAGCATGGCTTCTACCACTTCTGTGAAATGCCAAGAAGGCCAATACAACAGTGAAATCCGTCAAAGGGAGGTTTAGGAGCTGCTGTCATGTGGTGTGTAAGCACCTTCCATGAAATAATGCAATCTAGTTATTTTGATACACTGCTGCCTAGCAGGCAATAACAAATTCTGATTTTTACTGAAATTGTTCTATTTATTCTGCATACAATATCTTCATAAGTGAGTCTCTGTACAAATTATTCATGGGCAGAGGTTGGGGGGGTTGTATATAATAGCCTGAAATACTCGATGTTACATATGAAGGTAGGAACGGAACGCAGCATATCTTTACAGTGCTCTTCACATTCAGTTGGCTTTCGGGTGACAAAAAGTTAGGTGCAAGGTTCGGTTTACCTTTTCCCTTAATTTTCGAATGAGCTCTGTGTCATTGTGATGAGTCTTGATAACTTCTGCTTTGCCACTAGCAACAAGAGATGCACTTTCAATGAGATCAGGTCTCAAGGTTCCCTGGGCAAGGAAGACTTCCTCTGGCTTCAGGTTCATTTCTCCAATAACTTCATTAGCAATCTATCATTTGGGTGGGAAGGGAAAGCAAGAAATGGACATGAAGAATATACTTTTCTGCAACCATGCCCCCAAAAGCATCCCTTTGTTCCAGCTGCAAATGAATCCTCTTTCCAATAATGTAACATCATGAAGCAAAAGGTAATTAAGCCTTTGTTAGGAACAAAGCAAAATTTAAACCATCTTAATCACAAACGAACTGGTGCCACTATGTTATAATGCACCTGTTCTGAGTTTTACCCAAACTGCAGTGGGTAGTGACCCCTACTGGACAAACCAGTAAGCTTTGCTTAAAGACTCTGTTTCACTTTTATGGGAAGATGAAGCCCTTGTTGAGAGCGTATGTGCATATGCCTACACACATGCAGGAAACCTAATGTGCTCCACTAGAACATTTCAGGGGCAACAAAACTTGACTGGTGCTAACACAGATAATGAGTGATCCACCACAGTATTAAGAAGCTACGAACCCCATTTGATTCTCTCTAGAGCAAGACTCTGAAATCCAGATTGGAGCATGGGGCCACAAGACCTCAGGAAGCTGCCTTTTACTGAGTGAAACCACTGGTCCATCTAGCACAGTGCTGAGAACAGTGACTGACAACAGCTCTGCAGGGTTTCAGAAGTTTCTAGCCCTACCTGGAGAAGTCAGGGAATGAACCTGCAACTTTCTACATGCAAAGCAGGTGTTCCACCCCTGAACTACAGTAGTTTCAGCAATGAGCAGGTAACTTCTGATCTCTTAACAAGGGGTGGATTGAACTTTTGCATTTTTATAGCACAGTGGCAGTGCTCAGATCACACCTACAAATAGGAGTGCATCTAAGCTAGTTGAAAAACGACTGAAGTAACATGACACATTTTAAATGCTACATGTGCAGAGGCTTGGATTTGAACACGAATCACACATGATTGGCATGCACATGCAATTCAGAGGTAAAGAGTCTAACTTAATACCACCCTTATGAAAACAAGACTATGCAAAAGCATTCTTAAATGGCAAAGTGGATACCTTCACAAAGGTGTCACCAATAATTTTGCGTTTTTCCTCAGGACTTGTAGTCATATTCAGTGTTTTGCTGATCCTTTTTCGTGGAGTTCTGTCTTCGTCAGAGATGGGCAAAGTTGTTGTACCATTGTAGAACCAATGAGCAGCATTTACCACTGTACAAGGTACAAGAGTTGTTGTTAAGGAAATGTCTGAAATAAGGACTCAGACAGCAAAACACAGTAACAACATAAAAAATGACTGATACTATACCACTACTAAGAATACTACTGTAGTGTAATCCCTTGCACTTTATCAAGTAACATAACTGAAAGACAGCTCCTTGCTTGTACAGTATTATTTTTAAAAGCTTGTGAGGAGGGGGAGAGGAGAAACAGTGGGAGGTGAAGGGAACCAAAGATAATACAAGAGGAATGCCTGCAACATCTGCTCTGAGAGCTGAGGGGAAATACCCCCTCCTTTCATACCTTCTTGCTGCCAGAAGGACTATCACTTTGTCTAGCCACCAAGACCATGAACATTCCAGAACTAAAAATTATCCCTCCCCAGAGCCCCTGAGAAAGAGGACAAAAAAATTTCCATAGAACTGGTTGATTCTGAAGAAGGATGTGAAAGAAGAGTGTGAAAGATGGAGTCACCCAGGCAGTCCAGGAGAGGTTCCATGAACATGGAGTAGAAAATGAGAGTGGGTAAAGTTGAGAACCAAAGATCTGTGGGTTTTAGCTTGCAGTATCATACCAAGGAGTACCTTTGTTATTCACCAATAAACAGATTCTCCACCATGAGTTATATGAAGGTCCAGCACATTTCCAAGAAAATTTTTAAATTTAAGACAATCCTTATTTATTGTTTTAGTCAACCAAAGATGGACATGAGGGGAGCTGTCAACCACTCTGATTTCTAATACACAGAAACTAGTATGATGAAGCTCCTTGGCAGAGTTACTGGAACAATGGGCTTTAAAAATGTCAGATTAATACAAGAGTCAGAGTCAATACCTTTTACTTGAATTCCCAATTTTTTGAGTGCCTCCTCCACAGACTGACTTTCCCTCTTGCGCATAAATCCATTATCTATGTGCACTGCAATCACTTGCTCTTGATTTAAAGCACGGTTCAGTAAAGCTGTACACACAGTGGAATCTACACCTCCACTGAGTAAAACCTGAATAGGTTGGGAGAACAAAAAGAAATCAGTATGCACATTTAATAAATTGAGAACGATAACTGTTCAAACATAGCATTTACAGCTTTTCATTGTTTACTGCAACAGCAAAGTCAAAACACATTGAAGTTTCTCTTCAACATGGAAGGAAAATGTTTCACATTTAAAAAGCACATATGTTGAATTATGAAAATCGAAAGTATGGAATAATCAAATGCTTATTAGCAGGAGTGAGTCTGAATTAAATTTTCAAACCTTACCAGAACTTTTGATGACCCTACTTTCTCTTTGATATCTCGAATGCATTCCTGTTCTCTGTTCTGAACTGTGAAAGTGCCACTGCACCCAGCAATATCATACAGGAAGTTTTTCAGCATTGCTTTTCCATTCACTGTAAGGCTAACTTCAGGATGGAACTGTGCTCCATACAGTTTTTTAGATTCATTTGCTATAGCTGGGGGAGTGTTAAAAAACAGAATAGTCAAAAATTGCATTAATATGAAAAGGTGACCACATATATTTAAGTCCCATGTATATTTGTAGTGGGAATCATATATAGATGCAAATAATCAGAATGAGGTATTTATTAAAGCATTGTTAGAACAACAACAACAACAACATTACAGTTATACCCTGCCTTTCTTCTTCTTGCAAGGAATACAAAGCTGCCTATAAGGTTCTCCTCCTTTCCATTTTATTCTGACAACAAGAACTCTGTGAGGTAGAATAGGCAGAGAGACTGTGACTGGCCCAAAGTCACCCAGTGAATTTCACAGCTGAGTGGAGACTAGAATCTGGATCTCCTGAGTCACAGTCCAGTACACTATGACACTACTGTGTCATAGTGGCTCTCAGAATGTGTGTTTTCTTCTGGCAAAACCTAAACATATACCAGCCTGATCAAAATAGTATTCAATAGCTTCTTACTAGAAAAAAGCCAAGAAGGTCTGATGAAGCTAGTGCAATGAATTCCTTGTTACATTCAAGTGCCTGCTTAATACTCAGTTCATTTCTGAAAGCCCTATCTTGTTACATTTTCTTTCCAGGAAATGGGCTCAGTTGGCAGATACAGAGCTGAATAGTGCCACTATCTTGGAAAGAAAAAGCGCACACACACACCCCAAATGGATGCTAATTTTTTGTTCAAAAAAAGGTTGAACCCAAGTTTCAAAAATGTAAAAGCAATATTCCAAAGATACACATTCCACATTCTGCCTTTAGAGACAGTTTGCAAATATCAACCCAGTTTCTTGGAGGAGCCAAGAGATCAGAGCACGTAACACAGGTTTTCTCCCAGTTACACGGTTTACCTGCATGACCCTGCGTCTAGCATAAAGAAAAGCCCTAAACGGCTTGGGGCCAGATTATGTGAAGAACCACCTCTGCCAATATCATGGGGGGATTCTGCCAGTCCACAAGCCAATCCATCCTATGAAGGTTTTCCATCCAGCCCATGAAGGCTTGGGATCCTTCCACATGCTATGCCCTCTTTTCCTCCCCAAGTCCTACCTGCTAGCCTGGAGTCTACCAGGGTCTTATTTCCAATCTGTTATCAGAAATAACAAGAGCATTCCTCCATGCACTGCTTTCCCTCACAGTGAAGGATGGACAGTTGCAGAAAAATAAATTCCCTTCATATCTCTGATCACAGAGTGGTGATATCAAGGAGACTGGAGGTGCAATGGCTAAAAACTTGTCTGGCACCTGAAGACCACTCATGCTTTGCTTTCCCTGCACAGCACAGGTGAAAGCTGAGCAACATCTGGCTGAGCAGATTCACCTGCCTTTGTCCTCTCCACAGCTGCAGAAGGTGAAGTCCTGCCAATGGGAAAAGTCCCACATGCAGGGATGCCAGTTCTTGGGGGACATGCCAAGAGGTCAGCCTCCCATCACATCTGGTAGTGCCCAAATTCTGTCAACTTGAGTGGTCATGCCAATTTAATGTCATTCAGTCCATAGAGGGCTAGGTCAGAGGGCAGCTGGCCCCCCACCCAATTCTGGTTCTGTACTCTCACTTATATGAATGTGCCAGGACCCTAAGGTTGGACACACATGCTGTGCTTAAGTGCTTGCTGGTAAGGTCTATTTGGTTGGTGGGAATAGAAACAGAGCCTTTTCTGAGGTGGAAAGTATTTTAAAGAAGTGCATGTATGCACATCCAGATGTGCATACTTTTAGAGCCACTCTGCAAACCATCCTTGTTTCCTGTTTGTAACACTGTCACATATAAACTGCTCTAGGGTAAATAACGATAGCAATTTAACTACTTGTAACAGGCTAATAAAAACTAAACCACCGGATCAATTGGGCATTCTAGAGACATGTTTTTAAAATCTTAAACTTTGCTTTTCAAGTAAACTTCATTTACAGACACAGATCTCTGATATTTGTTCTATATTTTGCTTCATGTGTCCTTGCTGAAGCACTCTAACAGTGCAAAAATATATGCAAAAATACATACCAGCTACTACATTTCCAGATTGTGCAACCACTTTGAATCCATCTGCCACTTTATCTACACTATCTCCATGGGTGAGAAGAACAATCTCTTCCTTCTGGAGTCCCCTAAGGAGAAATATAAGAACAAGATTGTGAAAAGAAAGTTTAACAACCTAAAGCAGTTAAGGTGCACCCTTAAGTACACAGCAATTTGAAGGGCGGGGGGAATGACCAATGAATATTTTTCCATTTTCAATATATTTAAGCTTTAGAACTTCCCCTTATAACCCCAATACTGACTCAATATGTCTCCTCCACTACCTTGTGACCAAAGTATCTGCATACCTGAATAGTGAACATGTGTTATCTACAGTAATGTTGAAGACTCCATCTTCTCGAACGTCTTTTTTGTGCACTGTACCTCCAAATACCTTATTCATCATCTGTCAAAAACAGAAAAGCTAATGAGTGACCACAGTTCAGCTGCTATTGTCATTCCGTTTCCATCTGCACTAGCATCATAGTATACAGAATTTTAATACTATAGAATTATATACTATAATGGCAACCCACTCCAGTATCCTTGCCATGAAAACCCCATGGACAGTACCAAAAGACAAAAAGATACGATGCCGGAAGATGAGCCCCTCAGGTCGGAAGGTGTCCAATATGCTACTGGGGAAGAGCAGAGGGCTAGTACTAGTAGCGCCAGAAAGAATGAAGCGACTGGGTCAAAGCCAAAAGGACACTCAGTTGCAGGTGTATCTGGTGGGGAAAGGAGAGTCCAGATGCTGTAAAGATCTATACTCCATAGGAATCTGGAATGTAAGATCCATGAATCAAGGCAAGCTGGATGTGGTCAAACAAGAGATGACAAAACTGAACATCGACATCTTTGGAATCAGTGAACTAAAATGGACAGGAATGGGTGAATTTAATTCAGATGACCATCAGGTTTACTACTGCAGGCAAGAATCCCTCAGAAGAAATGGAGTAGCCTTCATAGTCAGTAAAAGAATAGGAAAAGCAGTACTGGGCTACAATCTTCAAAATGACAAGAATGATCTCAGTTCAAATCCAAGTCAAACCATTCAACATTACAGTAGTCCAAGATGGAGAAGCTCTATACAGTCAGTAAAAACTAGACCAGGAGCAGACTGTGATTCAGATCATGAGCTTCTTGTTGCAAAATTTAGGCTTAAATTGAAGAAAGTAGGGAAAAGCACTAGGCCACTCAAGGTATGACCTAAATCATATCCCTGATGAATATACAGTAGAAGTGACAAACAGATTTAAGGAATTAGATCTGATAGGAAGAGTGCCTGAAGAACTATGGACGGAGGTTTGCAACACTGTACAAGAGGTAGCAACTAAAACTGTTCTAAAGAAAAAGAAATGCAAGAAAGCAAAATGGCTATCTGAAGAAGCTTTACAAATAGCTGAGGAAAGAAGGGAAGCGAAAGGCAAGGGAGAAAGAGAAAGATACACCCAACTGAATGCAGAATTCCAGAGAATAGCTAGAAGAGAAACTCAAATACTTTGGCCACCTAATGAGAAGGAAGGACTCACTGGAGAAGAGCCTGATGCTGGGAACAATAGATGGCAAAAGAAGAAGGGGACGGCAGAGGATGAGGTGGCTAGATGGAGTCACTGAAGCAGTCAGTGTGAACTTAAGTGGACTCTGGGGGATGGTGGAGGACAGGAAGGCCTGGAGGAATGTTGTCCATGGGGTGCGATGGGTCAGACATGACTTCGCGACTAACAGCAACAACACCTATAAGAACCTGATTATTTGTTCAGCACATAATCAATAACCAAACAGCAAAGCTGATGCAAATCTGTACTTTAAGTTCAGTATTGCAAATAATTGCTACAGAGTTGTTCAGCCATCATCTCCTCTGTTCACCTGTACTGTTTCCTTTTTTACCATTATGAAGCGGCAGCTCAGTACCCATTTCCTCCCCTGGACTCGAAGGATTCCTAGCTCTTTAAATGTTGCAGAACGCTGGGGAGGGGAGAATGAACGTGCAGTGCATGTGGCAGTTCTTGTTTCTGCTGTGTTCTCCAGGGAGTATTGCACTGGAGTATTTTGCAGTGGAGAAGGCTGATTAAATTAATTTGCAATAAGTGTTCATCTGCTCCTACCTCCCTGAAGCAAGCAGCATCAGCTAGGTTTAATGGGACATTTTTGTTCTGTCTTGGTTAATCCCAAGGACACACTAAGCATTTATTTCTTGACTGGGACAGAATCACTAACAGTGTAAAATCCAGTTAGTGTTGTCTGCTGTTTTCAGCAACCTACTATGGACATTATGGACAGCATTCAGTGAGACTCTGCTGGTGGTGGTTTTGCAGCACTCACAGGAATGACTGCTTGTGCAGCAAGGCTTTCAAACTTCTACAATTAACCCCAGAAACAAGCAAATATGTTTGTTTTTAGATCGGGACAGGTCTGCAGTACATGAGCACAATATCTCACTGAATTCAGTGCAACTTGCCATCAACTGGGCTGCATTACATCCCAGAAAATATATTTAAAGCACATTTATAGGCTTGAAGATATTTCTATCAGAAGATTGAAGTACAAATTATCAACCTCTGCTTTAGCCTCTCAAGACACAGAGGATAGTCTACATTATTGTACACTTGGCTATAAAGCAGTAAGGCTTGACAAGACAAATCAATGCATGCCTAGAAGTGCTCTATGCCCGGCTTAGTTATTTTGCATTTGATCCCATCCTTAGATGTTCACTGCAGCATAATAGCTTATTTTGTATGTATGATGGAATTCATTCTAATATTCCATAAAAGTAGCACATAGTGACTCCAGAAACACAATGATGCACATTCTGAATGCTCTGCAGCATATAATTGCTATGCACCCATTATAAAAATGCAACCCTATTATGTAGATGACTGCACCACGATCTTTTCCACCCACATTTTAGAGGATGAGAGTGAGATTGAAATACAGGTACTCATGGCTAAGATGAGATGTGAACCATTATCTGCCACACAGCAGGCTTCAAAAGTTTCCTTGGAATCTCCTTTTGAGAAACTCCACCTAGGCACCCAAACTGCTTTTAACAACCCATCCTCCAAGTTTAAAAGGAACTTGAAGGTCAGGTACAACAGCTGCTACAAGCAAAATTCCTGTGGACAGCCATGTCTCAAGCTGTTAGAGATCCACCCAACTTAATAAACACCTAGGCCTTGCTCAGGTGTTTGTTTCTTTCACATCCTTAATACTACATGCAGACAGATTTAGGCCTTGGTGTCCAATGAAAAGGGGAAGGCTGCTGAACATGCACAGGCTGTTTCCGTGAGGTGGAACAGGCTTCTCTCAAGGAAGGCGTCTGTCGCTTCCCCATTGCATGGGAAGGTGGCAACTGGCAGGGAGACAGCAATAGGGGCTTTGCCCTCTCCCCATGTGGTGGTTGGCAGGCAGTATACTGCAAATGGCAGAACAAATGCAGAGGGCTCCTGGCTCAATCCATGACACCTTCAGGTAGAGCCAGAAACCCTATAGAGCTGCAACTAGCCAATGTCACCAATACTAGGCTAGATTTACTAGTGGTCTCACCCAGTATAAGCTTCCCATGTTCCTAAACAGAGAAACTAACACCTGAATGAAGCTTCACTAACAGATGAGTTGGCAAACTTTTTCCTGGAGTGTACCGCTGCAGGTGACAACTCCCATGACCGGCCTTCTCTTAAGAATTTCCTGCACAAAGAAGAACTAGACATCAGAATATCTGGTCTTCTAAAGCAGTGGACTTTTTGTAGAGAACAGCAGTCACGTAGTTCCCCATTGGCAGTATGAAATCTACCTAGGAACCTGTTTTCCACTTCCCCTCTGGAATGTAAGAACTAGGCACCATTTATGCATCTATCAAAGGTGAGCAGAAGAGACCAAACCATCAAAAAAATGAGGCAGGCACATGTCTGCAATGAAAGCCCTCGTTACACCTGATTCTATGACACAGCTCCTTTTATGATCTGAATTATAAAATAATACAATAAAACTATTCCATTTTGTTATTACAGTGTTCGGACAGATGCAGAGAAAATATTATTACTTCAACATCACACCACCCTGGAAGATTATCTGTCCCCAGTTGGGCTACCAGAAGACCAGTATTTTTATCTTGGATTACAGGCTGTACAAACAGCAGGCTATTCCTTGTATGACTATAGCAGTCAGCAATTTAAAAGCTTGCGTATTATTATTTCTCACTATACAGTATTTGATCCATCATGAAGCCTTACTATTTGAGGGAGTTCTGTTTTGACATGGCATTTATTGCGCTTGACTGTTCCTCCACTGTTACAACAAATTTTAAGCAGCAGTATTTGTTTTTGCACATATGAATACAATCTACATACTGTCTTGTAAAAGCTCACTCAGACTCAGTCCCGGGGCTGGTTTTATTTCTGGATTTGTGCACTGCTGTGTAACAGCTCCATTTCCAGCACAACATACTTTTCCATGAAGCCCACCTTCTATTTCCCTAAACTTAGCCAAGGCTTTTTAATGACTTTCAGGGTTTACTCATACTGAGAAGCCTAAATGAATTTTAAGAAAGGCATTAAAAATGTTTTGCCTTTTTTTCTTCCTTATTAACCTTGGTTGTTTCCTCTCTCACCTATCTATTTTTCCCCTTTCTTCTGGTACAGTCCCCTCTTTCTTCAAGTTTTCTATTAGTCCTATTTAGATTCTCAACACCTGTATTTTCCCAACTTTCTTTCATCTTCACTCCCTGAGCAACTTCACTTTTCTTACTTGCAATCTGAATTTTCTGAGAGCCAGTACTTGTGTCGCCAAAACACCACCACCCCAACACCAAGGAACTTACAAGCACACTTGGGTGAAGCCTGAGGTTTGCAGAAGTGCACTTTTTAGAGTTTTAGAAAAGGAAGTTACAAATAGAAAAAGATGCCCAATGGGGCCACAGCATCTTCCATGTACACAGAAGACTGGCTGACTTGGGGAAGGAGAAAATGGAAAGTGGAGGATGGTATACAGCAGCTGTAAACTATGGTGGAAGCATGGCACACTACAATGTTTTGCAGCACATCCTACTTGTATATATTAATGGCAAGCTTAAGTTTCGGCGTGGCAGATCTTATGATGCCCAATCAGCACTATCCTTGGTCATGAGGGAGTTATCAGCAGGGTGGGCAGAACTCCATGGCTTGCAGATGAACAAAAATTAATTATGGAATATTAGACCCAGGTCTCTACAAGTATTACTTAAGAGAAACACCTTAATGAACCCATTGACAAACAAACACACCAAAGTGACCATGAAATGGAGTCTCCAACAACAAACAAACAAACAAACAGCTTACAGCTAGTTATCCGGGTAGTCAGGAGCACTCTAAGTCTTGTTACAGGTCCCACTGATAAAAATGTGTAATGACCTTCTACATAAGTCATTAGGGTTGTTTTCTGTACTTATGCTCTTTGATCTTTCCTCACTCTCTTTGCTCTCTAGGTTTTATGGATACTGTACTTTTCTGAAATCTTATCTAATTCAGAATTATTCTTTTGGAGTTTTCATCAATAGTTCTTCATAGTTTGCTCATTCTGCTGATGTCCCCCAGAAATCAATTAATCCTCCTCACCTTTTTAAAATATCCTTCTCAATTTCCTCATTTGGCCTGCAATAAAATTGCTACACTAAGAACGACCAACTCTTTTTTTGTTCTTACAAATATCTTAAACTTTTCAAGAGCTATTGCTGCTGGAATATTGCATCACTCAAATTCAATGTATTATATTTTTTCCCTTAAGCATTCACTTTCTCTTCATCTTGATAAAAATCACTTTTCAGTCTTCCCAGCAAGTTAACAGCCTTAGTATTTTCATTTTAATCTCTCTCTCTCTTTGGCCTTATATTATTTCACTAGCTAAAGGTCTGTAAGTCATCTCAGTCCCCAACGAGTTCTGTTCCTGAGAAAACAGAATTTCAAACAGTAAGTTGAATTTTGTTATGTAAGATGGATCATGTATAGTTAACTGTCCACATTAGTGGGGGTTAGGGGCTAAGAACCCTGTGAAAGTGGAAAAACTGTGAATATGTCCAGCCCTCGCCCCAACTCACCAGCAAAGAAATGCCACAGGGATTTTCTTCTCTAGCAGGGTAGGGCAAGAAGGCCTGCTTTGGAGGCCTCCCTCTCTACCCCTCACTTCCTCTCTATGTTGATGCTTTGGAGGCCCTCGCTCACTCACCTTCCACTTCCTGTCTCTCTATGGTGATGATGGTTTCCTGCTGTTTTTTAAAAAGTTAATAGGCTTTATGGCAGTTTGTCCATAAGTATGGGCTGTTTATAACCTGGCTGTTTGTGATCTGTGGACTGTGTATTTCTAAAAATTCCATATATGTACTGTGCTAAAATCTTTGGAAACTCCTATTTTATTTGAGTTTTATCTCACCTTTCTACCAAAAGTGCACCAAAAGAAGCACGCCTATTCATAATAAATTTTAAAAATCCCAATATATTAAAATACAGTATGAACATAACAAAGGGTTTTGAAGTTAAGAATTAAAATAGCACCAACCCATAAGACCCGCTTACAGGTGAAAGATCTTCTGAAAAATGCAGTCTTTGCCTACTGATGAAAGGATGACTGCTGCCCACAGGAGGAAGTTCTGGAAATGACTACTACTGAAAAGGACTTCTTGAATCATCAAAAAATATGCCCCTGAAGATGGTGGTGCCAAAGAAGGGCCTATTTAGAAGATCTTAAGAATGGCTCAGGCTTGTTGCCAATCGCAGCACCCTAAAACACCCAGAAAGTAAAAACTTGGCCAGAGAAGGCCACATAGTAAAAACACCACAGTTATACTGTCCCAGAAGGGTGAGCGGATAAGACAAAATGAACTTTGTGTAACGCACAGCTAACACACTAGCCTGACCTCGAATACGGTAATCAAACGGACAGTGAAAACTGGTTCCAGCCGCCATGAATATTGCAAATGTGCAGGCAGTAAAAACATGGCAAGGCTGTGTGAATCTTGAGCAGATAAGAAATAGAAATGGGAAATGTCTGGTCCTTGACAGAAGAAAAGACTCTTTGAAGCTAACAGCAGTGGGGGTGTGGCTACATTGATGTACTGATGCATTAGAAGTGTATTAGGTGACCTAATTGGTTACCTAGGGTATAAAATGCATGTACTGGGGTGAAACTTTTGAGACACTGCTTTGGGCTGAATGTCTCCTTTTGTCTCCCTTTATTCGATAGTGCACTAGAAGAAAGCTGGTTTTGGCTCTATGTCTCGTCTCAGGCTCTTTTTGACTTGAGTCTGGGGTCCACCCAGGTTTGCCCTAGCTGTTGACTGGCTGAGTTCGGTAACAGGCTCGTTCTCATGGGTTTTCCTACCTCTCCACTTATACATGGTTATTTGCAGCACTTCTGGCATGCTTGGTTTTCTTCTCCTGATGTCTGAATCACACTGCACATAGGTGTCTCTTCACTTGCTTCCTCTACTGACCCGTAATACATTTAAAACAGTTTCTATGGTTCTATCTTCTCTTCATGGCTTTGCCTACTATCTTTATGGTTTTTACTCTGCCTCCCATTCATCAATTACTAATCATACTAATCCTTTCTCTTGCATTATTTCTTGTCTATGTGTTCTCTTGCTGCCTTTCTCTCCTTTTAATTGTTTGGCAGAACTTCTATTTCTTCTCATTTAATTAATGATGTTACATTGCCTATCCTCTGCACTCCATTCATGTTCCTCTGCTCTTTCAATGTGATTATTTTCTTACAATTAGGGTTATTTTTCCCACCTCTTAACTTTTTAATGCACTTCACTTTATTTTTCCCAGGCTAGTGTACAGTTTTCCTCTAAATCTGGAATGTAAGCTCATGGTTTGGAACCTGGGAATTTTACTCCTGCATGGAACTGCATATATTTTAAATGTTTCAATAAAAAAGGAGGTGGAGGAGGAGAGTGTTGAGAAAGGTTTTGTGGGGGGGGGCATGGAATGTAACATTTGTAAGCTGCTCATGATACCTTAGTTACAGTCACAGTTTAATTTATGAAAATGTTACAAATAACAGATATATAATTAAATAAAGCCACAAACACATAAAAGAATGGAGAGGCCACAGCCATCTCATTTTAAGATTATGCATATTTTCCTTCCACAGCAATGGCCTCAAGAAGCTCATGAACTACACAACGGGCTTCTGTTCAGTCTTAGAAAACCAGACCTGCCTGTAAAGCCCTTGAAGCCATGCTCAGACTGCACCTGGGACTGGACTGTGAATGGCATGCAAGAAAGGAATACAAAATTTCTCAGTTCCCTAAGTCCACATTTGCTTAAGAATAGTTCCAGAAGTAATTTTTCATATACTGTACTTTTACAAATGATGCATAGAAATAATCATACTCTCTTAACCAAGCCATTAAGAACATACATATAGCATAATATATGTAAAAGTTGCAATTAGTACCTGCATGCCATAGCAAATTCCAAGAACAGGTTTGCCTATCGTAAATATTGCTGGGTCAAACCAGGGAGCATCTTCTGCATAAACAGAATTTGGTCCTCCAGATATGATGATAGCCCTGCAAATAAAATAGATTTTTCTTTAAGGAATGAGATTTTGGAACTAAACACTGCTTTAACTCTCTCTCTCTCTCTCTCTCTCTGTATGTATGTACAAAAGCATTATAAAAGTAACTGAGTTTGTGCATGGGCTGGAGAGGGTAACTTGTGGCCTTCTTGATGTTTTCACCTACAATTCTCATCAGCCCTAAGCCAATATACACAGCTCAAAGCCAGCTTCTCAGCAGAATGAGAAATGATGGAAGTTGTAGGCCAGAACATCCGCAGGGTCACAAATTTCCCATCCTGAGGTAGACACCATAAAACTTTAAAATGAGCAAGTTGTGACTTTATGGAATAGTAAATGAGTAAGATCAGTGTAACATCTTCTCTAAAAGAATATCATGAACACAGCCTTTAAAAATAGTGACATAAAAATGTAAATCACCATGGCCAAAACAATCCCATACAAAGTCCATTGAGGAGATACTTCACTATTTGATATGGCTCTCTGTAGTCCATCCTATCCCAATGTCTCATAAGTACTTCTCCCAGCTTATTATATTGTAATATTATGGTCAGTTGAAAGTGCCATCCTTGACAGGATCAGTTGTGGACCTTAAAAATACAGAGACATTTTCAATAGCTGCCTTGTGGTAGTGAAGTTCCCAGTCTCTGAATAATTGCTGAAATCCAATTCTAAATATGATCTAAAAATGAATCTAAAAAGCCACAGAAGCAAAAGGGATCAACAAATAGAAAAAAGGCATCTCTAAGTTGCCTCCAAGAGACTTCCAGAATGGGGAATCCATGTCTTAGATCAGAATTTTCATTTTGTTTGGTTGGGGCTGGATTCTTGGGGCTATAGTGTCAAAACAAGTAACTACACATATGCAAGCTAATTTCATCATTTTTATTCCACTGTTCCAAGTGCAGATACTGCCAGACAGTGCATGGGAAATGACTAGGGGGAAGTATCAGAAATCTGATTAACACTGTGTAGTGGCATAAGATCATTGTTCATCGCAGCTTTTCAAGTCTACCTTGTACAGCCAGTTTCTCCACAGATACGTGGTCACTTAAATATGGTCATACATGTTGAATGGGTATACTTTTTCACCGGTATACCAATACTTCTTTTTGTCATAAGCTAAATATGTCCTACTTTTCAACTCTCTATTTTATGAATGTCACAGAATGTATTTTTGTTTGGTAAAATGATTAGATTAGTTGTAATCATGTTTATAACATTTCCATGGATAATATTAATAATTTTAGTGACTGCCCAGACAGACTGATGCTAATGGGCAGCACTCAAACAAATTTAATAAATTAACTCTGCATATAAAACCGATTTATAGAAGCCTTTCCATTTTATTATTGAACCCTTTTTCAGATATTTGCTTCTAGGGATTCTTATCTGGGCTGAAATTTAATGTCTGTGAATAAAGAGCTAGGGGAAATTTCATTCTTATATTGTACTTTAGTGTTCTGTTTCTCCCCCTGCAGTTTAGCTGAATGTTTAAGCTGAACCTCTTCACTGTGTCATCTTGTATTTGAAACTCCCTCTCCACAAAGGTTTGCCTTGGAGCCAAAATGATTCCCTTTTGGAGCAAACTGAACATCTTTTAACTTGCCCGGGACTTTTAGATTGAGCAGCTTCTAAGTTTGTTTCAACATTGGACAGTTAGCTGCTCCACTGCTTAGCTATTTTGTGTAGTTGATTGCAAGTTTAATGCAAGTCACTGCAAGGATCCTGCTAACTGAAAACAAAGTTAAAACTGAAAATAAATAAATTTAGTGGAATGGGACAGGCTGAATATCCACCTCAATTAAGTTAGGAAAGATTTCATTAGGACAGCTTCAGACGTCTGCATTTCCTGCAACAGTTGCTCACTCTACCTTATGGTAGAAAAAACTTCAGCATAAGACCAAAGGCTCGTCAACTCCGAGGACCAGAACTTTGCACTTCTTTACACATACCATTTATTAATTTACTGCATTTTATCCAATTTTTCAGACAATTATGATCTTTCAAAGGTTCTCCCTTTTCTAAGGGATCCTAATGTTTTTCATTCTATCCCATACAAATGCTTATCGCATGCTACGAGGCAAATGGCACCAAGAGCTGAAGCCTACTGCTTATGTTCAGCTTGATACACCTGTTTCAACCAACCCTTTCTTCTGGCAGTTTGCTGAGCCTGTCCACAGCTGGCTCGATGCATTCAGACCTTCTGACCTCAGCTGGGCTATAATTGGGAATCCTGCTACCTATCTCATGGGTAGGCAACACAAGGACCACATGCAGCCCATGCCTGTCTGCCATAAAATACTAAGTTCAAACAGCAGCAGTGGTAAAAGTGGCTACAGTAAAAGGCACTGCAGCACCTGATTCCTACAGGGCCTACCTCCTCTTTCCCTGCAGCCTTTCTGCTTCTTTTCCAGCCCTTCTCTCAGTAAAAGATTCTCTCATGTTCCTGTAAGCAGAGTGTTTTTCCATGGCTTCTGATCTTCAGACCATTCCTCTTGACTGGATGATATCCACTTACAGCTAATCTACATCTTTGAAAGGGAAGGAGGCAAAGTATGCAGTCCTGCATTACTTCAGAATGTGGCTGAGGATGGAAGGACCGAATGCTCCTTCTATTAAAAATTCCTTGCAGACATGGAGCATATACTTACTGTGAGGTTTCCAGCCTAGACATCTTCTCTTTACCACTTTTCTTATCCCTCCCTCAAGAGTTCCAGAATATAAACAGGGGGAATATATTCTTATTCATTTGGCAGCCAAGTGGCAGAAGATGAACAAAAAATATTATTATCACATTGCATTTATATCCCATATGTCTTCTCTTTGCAAGGTACCCAAGGTGATCTTCAAGTTTCTCAGCTTCTCCATTTTATCCTTACAGAGTCATCCAGTGGGCTTCATGGCTAAGTGGGGCCTAGAACCCAGATCTCTTATCTGTTACATCACACTGGCTCTCCTTGCTGAATCAAATGAAAGGCCTATCTCATCCAGCATTCTGTTCAAACAGTGGCCAAAAAAGTAGAATGGGAAATGGGAAGATGCAATTGCACTCACATCCTATTTCTGTTCCCCAGTACATGGTTTTCAAAAGCTGACTACCACTGCAAATATATAGTTCTCATTAATAGTAGCCACTGATTGTCTTGTTGTGTGTCATTAAGTCATCTCCGACTTATGGCAACTCTATGAATGAATGCCTTCCAAAGTGTCCCATCCTTTACAGTTTTGATCAGCTCTTATAAACTCAAGGCTGATGCTTCCTTTATGGAATCAAGCCATGTCATACCTGATCTTCCTCTTCTTCTGCCTTCAACTTTCCCTAGCATGACTGTCTTCTTCAGTGAGTTATGTCTTTTCATGATGTATCCAAAATACAGCCATCATTAGTTTCATCACTTTTGCTTCTAGGGAAAGTTCTGACTTGTTTGGATCTTGGATCTATTTGTTAGTCAATCCGTCAGTCCAGAGTATTTGCAAAGTTCTCATCTAGCATCATGTCCTGAACTCATCAATTTTCCTCCTGTCAGCTTTCCTCGCTGTCCAGCTTTTACATCCATACACAGTGATAGGGAATACAACAGTGTGGATGATCTTGGCCCTGTTCTTTAGTAAAACATCCATACAATTGATGATCTTTTCTAGTTCCTTCACTGCTGTCCTTCCAAAACTCAGTCTTCTTTGAATTTCTTGACTGCAGTCGCCATTTGAACTTGGAACTCAGCAAAAACTTTTAAAATTTCAGCTTCTTCCCTGATGACATTCAAGCTGTCTAATACTTTTGTAGTCATGATTCTTATTTTCTTAACGTCCAGCTGCAGTCCTGCTTTTGCACTTATTTCTTTCACTGTCGTTAGGAATAATTTCAAGTCATTGCTGCCTTCTGACACAACTATGGGTTGCATATCTTAAATTACTGATTTATCTTCTGCCTATTTCCACTTCTTCCTCTGAGCCTTATCCACCTTCTTCATAAATTCTGCAAACAGACTGAACAGGTATGAAGGTAAAATATATCCTTGTCTGATACCTTGGTGTATAGGAAACCACTGTGTCTCCATATTTTGTCTTAACAATGGCCTTTTGTTCTCTTGATAAAATTCAGTACCTTTTAAAACAAAGAACAAACAAAATAGACAAAGCAATCAAACTTACCGAAATCCTTGTTCTTTGATTGCAAAGGCAGGAGTTTCCAAAGGGAAAATTTCTGACTGGACAAACAGTTCTCTGACTCGACGATCAATGACCTTCCCATACTGAGCACCAGCATCAAGTATTACTACAGCTCCCTCGTAGCGGCAAATACCATCCTTGAGATCTTCTCCAGCATTCTCCAACTGTGAACATGAACATTATTCATATAAGCACTTTGTCATGAAAAGATTATCAGTGCAGAGTGAGAACAGAACAGCAAAGTACCCTTTCTTTGAAGAAGAAAAAAAAAAGAGCACTAGTTAGCAAGCTAAATATTAGAGAGACTTATACTCCCTTGGCATTGGAAATGTTTTGGTGTAATTGAAAAGAACTTGCAAAGAAACACTAAATGAAAAGAAAGTTTAGAAAAAAACCCCAAAATCCTTGACCTAGAGCATTTTTTTTTATAATACGGAGGGAATTCAGGACACTGCATGAATAAAGTTTAGGGGATACTATTTGCTAAGAAATATATAAGTGAAGGTGGTCTGTTCTGGCCCCTTCCTAGGTCTTAAACACAGCCACCCCAATGACCAGCCCAAGTAGCTGAATAAGCTGATACTTCATATTTATAAACATCATAATTTACAATCTAGGTATGAAAAACAATGGAATTTTTAAGCGTACAAAATTAATTCTCGACAAGTCTCCTCCACAATATATTCCAGAAAACTAGAATTCTACAACTTATCTTCAATCACTGAAGTGAACAAGTGAATAAAATTCTGCTAAGGCAACTTACACAGACAAGAGTTGCAAATCACTCAGAGAGCTTTAGCACTTGGTTGGTAAAGAAATGAAAATAGTAATAATAATCCCAAAACAGCCAGCCACCTCCATCAGGATCCCCAGCATAGCATATGTGGGTGCCAACATGTTGATGGATACTTCTCCTGGCCTCTACCAAGCTATCTGCCCTAAAACTGGGAAGTTGGTCTGCTGGAAGGAGAGGTGCTGCCCTCCAGTGACATCTTTGAGTTTATTCTAGTCTTACCAGTTTGTCCGTTGGGAAATGCATGTGTTTTTTCACTAGTTTGCCATGTCCAGCATTTATGAATTGCCAAGGTGCCCCTGTTCCATGACAGTCACTTTCCAAGAATGTCCATGACAGTATCTTAAAATTACAAATACACTCACTGACCCAAAAGGCTGGAGATTCCTTATATAGGGTTGGCCAAAAGTAAGTATACAGTACTGATCAGCTCATGTTTAGTCTCTTAGGTGCTCGAAATGTCAACCATCAACACTGCAACATTCCTAGAACCCGTCTTCAACACCGTGAAACAAATTTTGGTTAGTATCACTGTTGATAAATGTTTGCAAGATGAACTCCTTCAATCCGTCCACTGTGTGAGGTCCCCCATGACCTGATCAGTACTGTATGCCTACTTTTGGCCCACCTTTTTGGGGATCCTAACAGCTTTATATCAGTCAAACATATGCAAGCTGCAAGTACTGGATGAGGCAGGGGTAGATTTGTGGAGGTGAGCTACCATAAGCAGTTGGGGATCTAAGGCTGGGTACCTTAAGGAAGGAGATGCAGTTTGCTGGCTGACCGCAAGATGTAAATAGGTATTCACCTCTGGCAAGAACAAAATGGTTGCAGGCAGGCACACTGATTTTTAAAATAAATACACTGGATGAGACCGTGATTGATCTTATCAGGCTAAGAATGTGTCACAAATTACCTGCACCAATTGCATGGACAGACAGGTAAATAAAAAGTTTCCTGCTTTTGAAGCTCTCCCTACCTGCAAACTAGCTGAGAGACAAAGGCCAATTAGAGTTCTGCCTGCACTGTGAAACAAGCAAAGCCTTTACAGGAAGTGAGCACTTCCAGTATAGCTAAACAAAGCTCTTTGGTATGTGTGTTATTTATGTATATAATTTCCAAGCAAGCTGAATTTTAACCAAACAGTATTATATTTACTATCTAATAACAGCTGCAAAAGAACAAGCTCTGGGTATGATCAAAAGATAACAGTTACATTCCTTTATTTACAATGAGCAAAACTAATATACCCACCCACCCACACCACCGCTGAGCATAGCCAAGTGTTATCTCAGTCTTTACTGCTATGCTTATGGTAATTCAACTGGACATCAATTGGTACTTCAGCGTGTTGATGGAAAAGGACAGATAACACACACTCCAGATAACACACATTGATCCATCCCTGTGATACAATTCTTTGTAGACAACACCTTCAATGGAAAGGACAATAGCTTAGCAGTGGAGAACATGTTTTGCATATAAATAATTCTAGGTTCGCTCTTCAGATAGGGTAGAAAATCTCTTGCCAGAATCTCTGGAGAACAGCTGCCACTTTGTGCACAATGCTGCACTACCAGGACCGATGGCCTAACTTTGTGGAAGTCAGCTTCTGATGCGCTATGTTCATCTAGCACAGGGATAGCCATTTTGAGGGCCCGTGTGCACGTTCAGAAATCTGAGAAACTGATCTGGACACAACCACCAAGTGGCTAGTAACAGAGGTCAGTAACTTGTGCAAAGGGAGTCATGGGATATAAAGAAGGCAACAGCTAGGGGGCCCCCAATTTGACTTGAAGCAATCCTAGTAAGGAAATATTACACACACACACACAAACTGGGAGGAACAGAGCTTATCTTGACGACCATGAAGGTGTCCATGTGTACCACACTGCATGCCCCGATCTAATACTTCCCATTCAAAGGAAACCATAGCCTGGTGTCAAAGGAGGGCTGGGGCAAGCCAGACCCTTGTCTATTTGGGTTTGTTCCCCTTACACTCAGGTATCCTAAGGCTAACAGCTAGAACTAGAGAAGTAGATGTAGGCTGAAGTATAGCAGCACAGATAAGATTCTGATCTATTAACTTGGCACATACACAAAGTCTAGGCTAGCCAATCCAGAAGTTTCATGCTGTCTACACATTGGAGGGACCAAGCTGTGTGTGCCTGTTTCTGCAGCTGAGGCCTGAATAACCAGGAACAGACATTAGTTCAGACACTAATATGCATGGTACCAGGGTAAGTATATGTTAAGCAATCATTAATCTGAACTTTTAAAAATCCAGAATACTGTTATTCTTTCCAAGCATACTTAAAGGGAGTATGGGGTAAAGAACGGTCATCACATTAAAAGTCAGCAGTCAATCACTAGCACATTCATCCCACTTGAATCAATGTGATTCATAAAAATGTAGCTGGATACAAGATGACAGGTTTCTACTAGATGTCATGGCAAACTTGTAATTTGAGAAAGCCACAGACCTTAACTGTCTGAGACTTAGAGTTACAGAAAGAATTAAGGTATCTTCATGGTTTAAGATTAAGATGTTATGTACCACTTCCATGTAACAATTATTATCATTGTTGACACTGTGTTACTTGCTTACATTTCTGAAAAAGTAAAAATATAAACAAGGCCATTCACAAATTATAAGAATGAAAGCTCAACACTTCTGGAGGGCACCAGGTTGGAGAAGACTGCCTTCGTAATAGGCTTGATCTTTGTTTGGCAAACTCGTGACATCATAGATGCCAACAAATAGCAGCCTAAGGGATCAAGAAAAAATATGCAGGGTCAAGGCCACTGTGACATCAAGAGAGACTATTGTACAGAACAGCAAAAGCAAATGGCAACTTCACTGACAATTACAATCCAGTGAATTGAGAAATGTTCAGCTACATGACTGGCACATACAGTTCAACATTTTGCAAATGTGACTTGTGAAATCATCTGCCTTGCAAGCATGATTAATGGAGAATCATTTACCTGAACAGCTTTTAAGAGTTTGCTAAGTCAGGAGTATACATTGCAAGGTATTTTGAAAACAGCAGAGCAGATATCTATAAGTGGGCACAGGTGTAGAGGGCTGGGGTGGGGATTCAAGGTTCCCAGTCTCTTTATCATCCTCAAAAGACCAAGGGTGTCCTCCAACTTGCACACCCTTCACTTTGTCACCAGTTTATGTTCTATTATTTTCTCCCAGTCACCGTGTCCCTCTCCAATGGAGCTCCAACTAGCTTATAACTCCACCGAGGAGCACTTTTAGCCATAGCTGGCTTTCAACTAGAGTTCTATTTCACAGCTGCACACACTCAGACTCCAGGTTAAAACAAAATGGCTAGTGTTGGAACTCAGGGCAGGCGCACAGCTAACCACAGTTAACGGAAAGGGAGGGAGAGCAGTGTGGGAGAGGCAGAGGAAAGGCCAAGAAGCAGAAGCGAACTCCTGCTCCCTTGCTCAGAGTTAAGGGATTGAGAAAGTTGTTCCTATGACAAGTCATCACACAATGCCTGTGCTGGATCAGCATGTGCCCAGGATCAAATTTTAACAGGAATGTTTTACCACTGAGGTCTTGGGGAGAATGAATCTGTTCTGTCCTCCAATTCAGTTTCATTTCTCATCTTTCCGTAGTAGAGAAGGCGTCACCTAAATTAGGCAGTTATGCAAAGTTACAAGACACACTTACGGCAGATTGTAACCAGGCGATTCCCACGGGCAAACTTTGGATTTCTTTTAAAACTTCAAAGTTTAAAAAAACTGTTTTTTTGGCACTAAAATGAGTGAGATAAATTCACTGGGGAGGAACAAATAGCAGGCATAGACCAACAACAGCTTCCTACTGGCAGCTCTGCACTTAACCCCCCTTGTTAACCTTGCAGTTTCAGAATGACTTGAAGGGAATTTACTATAAAGGGCTGCTGATTGGGAAATACTCTTGGTCTGCTGCAGTTTTGAAGGACTGGATAGTCCTTTACTTTGCAAATGTTACAAGGAAGCTGTCCATCTTTAGGGATGGGAGAAATTTGTCTGCCACATTTCAGCACAAAAGCCTAATCTAGAGCTTATTTCAAAACATTATATGAATTAAACTCTATTATCCTTTTATGTGTACTTCTCCAAATTTTGTAAGGGAGTTTGTCAATCAAAAAATGCAAATTCTCAAAGTTCAGGAGAAACCAAATTTAAGATTGGAAAAATGAGAAACTGAAATAGTTGAATTCACCGATCTCTACTTCTCAATGGCCTCACGTGGATTATGGAACAACTCACCCCAATTGTGTTTTATTTTTTTATTTTTGCCAATTGTTAAGATATTCTTTATTCAAACAGACCTTTGTTCTGTGAAGCCAGCAAACAATGTTTTATGAC